AAAATCATTTTAAAATAATCGTTCCGAGATATTAATCAATAAAAAAAATCTACAATTTTTTATTTTGGAATGAAAATATTAGAAAATTTGCAAATATAAATCAATTATGATATTTGTTTTTCTTTATTTTAATTATAAGAAAAATTAAATAAACACAACAACACAATAAAAATCTTTTTAAATAGAATTATTTACATAAAAATTTGTTATAAATTGGGTTTCTTTATTTTAATTATATGAAAAAAAAAATAAATTATACATACAAAAGGAACATCAATATTTACAATAGATAAAAATATATACAGTAAATCATATAAAGAACTCGTTTCTTTAAATATATTATAAACAAAAATTAAAACGTGCATTGAACTAAAATAGTTTTCCAAGCTCATAGAGTAAGCGAAATCTTTTATCTACAGACTGATGTATAGAGACATACACACATACATATGTATGTATAATTCAAGTGTTTGCTAAGAAACATTATTGGCATATTCGATAATCAGCTATAACACACACACACACACACACACTCATGAGCGAAACTTGACTTAGTTAACCAAATGGGAGAGTGACTCTCGCTGATGATGCGAATGATGTTTTGCTTGCCCATTGGAAACATGGCCCGACCGTAACTCATTTGCAAGCTTTTGCTGCAGAAGGACACGAATAACACGCGAAGAGCAAACAAAGTTCTTAGATTAATATTAAATTAAACGAAGCATGCAAAAAATGCTGGAGGGCGGCAATCATTAGGGCAGGGGCGGCAACAACAAGAAGAGTGGAGCCACCCAAGATCCAGCGAGGGTCGGCCAACAAATATATTGCCTGCTTGTGGCAGAAGGCAGGGGGCAGGCGGCTGGCAGGAGGCGGGAGGCGGGAGGCGACAAATGGTATAAGGCATGCGGCAGTCAAGAAGAAAACCCAAGAAACCTACACAAGAAAACAAATGAACATAAACAGACGAAACGAACCAAGAAAACCAACAAAATGAAATGAAACTTTTTTAATTATGCGCCCCACACAGCCAGGCCAAGTCGTAGGCGAGCGAGCGAGCAACAAGCGAGCAGCGGCCATGGGTAGTTGGTTTTTGGCGAGGGGGCGTGGCAGCAGCTACAGCAAGCGTCAACAAACTAACGAAGTGGTAAGCTAAAGGAGAGCCCAACACCCAACACCCAACAGCCAACAGCCAACAGCCAACAGACGCCAGGCGAGACGACAGGCCGATGGGGCACAAAGTGGCTAAGACAAAAGACTTGAATGTTGCGTCGACGGCGTTTTGCCAAATGAGCAAATATTGCAAATAAATCTGTTGCTGTTAGCCATTTTGTGCACTGTCCCACTGACGTGGGTGTGGGTGTGGGCGTGGGCGTGGGCGTGGCAACAAAAGGCAACGGCAACGGCAACGGCGGCAAAGAACTTTCCTGCTAATAAGATGAAAACCATTAAAAGTCGACACAAGTCGCGTCCGTTGCAAACCAAAGGAGAGCACAGCAAAGAATGAGCAAGAAAATGAGGATGAGGAGCAGGAGTGGGACGAGTGGAGAGCAGGGAGCTGGGACGTAACAGGATGCTGGCTGCTGGCTGACAGGCAGCCAGAAGCCGGGTTAAAATGCTGTAATTTTCGCAACAAAGCAAAAATTATCACCACTTTGCAAAAGGCGACAGCGACGAGAAAAGCTCTGCACCCTTTTCAACTATGCATGTGTGTGTGTGCTCGCGCGTGTATATGTGTGTGTGTGTGTGTGTGTGTGTGAAGCAGACGCTAAGTGATTTTAAAACAAAGTTTTTCAAACGTTTAACGTTACAATTTTGCCAAGTGTAATAGAAAATGTTACGTTTGCCGCTGGCTCGTCTGCATTTTAACTTTCGATGCTGATAATGAAGCCAGAAGCAAAGCCCAGAGCCATTGCCATAGTCAGTGCCAAGAGGGTTCGCACACTGCGCATAGGCAATTTAATGGCACTGTCGTCACACAACCCAGCAGCCCCCAAACGGCTGCTCCTGCTCCTGCTGCTGCTGCTACGGCTCCTGCTGCTGCTGCTGCGGCTCCTGCTCCTGCTGCTGTTGTGTTAATGTCGTTAGTAGCATGGCGCCATAATTATAATTTGACATAAGACAAGAAGTCTGAGGTTGACAACAAAATGACATTTTAAATACACACTCCAACGGCGGCATTCAATGAATGAGTGGACAACCCTCCGACGTTGGCACAAACGAAACCAGCCCCAACTACCCCACCACCCCAGCCACCCCACTACACACACACACACAGAGCAACGAGCACCAGCATCATCTATTAAGCAGTCGCACATCTTGGCTCTGTGTGCGTATTTAGACACTTAACAGATCATAATTTTAACACTTTGCCTAATGCCCATGGAACGTTTAATGGAACTGCCAGCAAGCAGCAAGAGAGAGAGAGAGAGAGAGAGTGGGACAGGGCGTGGCAGGGCGGGGGGCAGAACTTTGCGAGAATCTCTGCAGATTAACAAAGACTTAATACGACCTGTGCATTAAATCGCCTCTCAGCAGATTTCAAGCTGCAGCCGGACCTGAGTTTGCTTTTATTTTCGACCAAGGCGGGCTCATTATGGGGAGACACTCTTGACCTCAAATATTTGGAATTTGCCGGCAATCTCGAGCAGTAGAATTCTTTAGATTTCGTTTGCTTATTTTATTTGCTAACTGAAAAGACTTGAACAACTAATTGCAAATAAAAATCCCATTCGGGTTGTGTAATCCGATTTATATGCCAACAATTTCAGGCATAAACATATTTTTTGAACATGCCAGTGCTTTTTACTGTCCTTGGCCTCCCTCTGTGTCTCCCTCTATGACTTAAAATTCTCTCTGTGTCTTTATATTACTCACTATTTCTGTATATATAAATCTCATTCTCTTCCTTTTCTCTCCCTCTCTCTCTCTCTCTCTCTATCAATCTCTTTCTCTCTCTCTCTCTCTCTGCCTTGCATGTCTTCACTTTTTCTCTTTCTTCTTTCTGTTTTGCTGTCTTTATCCCTATCATTTTCCCTTTCCCTATATATCTCTTTTCACATTTAACACTCATTTTCTCTATCTCTCTCCTCCTCTCCAGCTCTCATTATTTTTCTCGCTGCTGGTTTCCCTCTTTTCTCATTCTCTCCATCTCTCTCTCCCTCTCACTCTTTTATCTCTTGCACATATCTCTTTCCTCTACACATTTATTTTGCTTTCTCTCTCTCCTGTGTCTCTTTCTTGCCCTATCTATATACATATATTTCTATCTACCCCTCTCACTCTCTTTCGCTGTTTCTCTCTCTGTCTACCTCATCCCCTCTCAGAACATTTTTCTGCACTTCCTTCACAAATTGCATTTCAAGTAGCTTTAAAACAACACGCTCTAAACGAAAATTCGAGACTTTTCACTGTTTCTTATTCTTGTGCCTCATTCTCTCCCACCAGCTCTCCGGGCTCTGTCCATACCCCGCCCCAGCTTCCTCTCTGTCTGGCATAAATATTCATATGTTTATTTTATACGTTTTGCCAACGAAAACGCTGCACT